TACATAATACGCAGTGTACCATCTTAACCATTTTAAGTGTGCAGTTAGTTCAGTGGCATTAAGTGTGTTCACATTGTTGTGGAGCCATCACCACCATCCATCTCCAAAACTTTTTTCATTTTGTAAAGCTGAAAAACTACCCATTAAGCAGTAACTCCCCATCTCCCTCTCCCCCAGCCCCCTGGCACTCACCATTCTACTTTCTGCTTTACAAATTTGGCTACTCTAGGTATATTATGTGATTGGGATCATACAGTATTTGTTCTTTTGTCACTGACTTATTTTACTTAAAACCTAAATCATCTCAAATGTCATCTGTATTATAGCATGTGTCAGAATTTCTTTCCTTTTTAAGGCTAAATGATATTTCATTGTATGAATATAGCATGTTTTGTTTATCTGTTCATTTGTTGGTAGACACTTGAGTTGCTTCTACCTCTTGACTATTGTGAATAATACTCCTCTGAACATGGATGTACACATATCTTTTTGAGTCTTTGCTTTCAGTTCTTTTGCATATATACCTAGAAGTGGAATTGTTGGCCAGTGGTTTACGTTTTTTAATATGTGGCTGGGTTAGCTTTGCTAGTATTTTGTTGAAGACTTTTGCATATATATATTCATAAGGAATATTGATCTATAATTTTCTTGTGATATTATTGTCTGGCTTTGGCATCAGGGTAATACTGGCATCATAGAATGAGGTAAGAAGTATTTCCTCCTCTTTCATTTTTTTGAGAAGGATTGGTGCTATTTTTTCTTTAAATGATTGGTAGAATTCACCAGTCAAATCATGTGGTTCTGGGCTTTTCTTTGCTGGGAGTTTTATGATTACTGATTTCAGCTTCTTGCGTTATGATTTTATTAAATTAACATTTATTAGGTGGAGCACAGAGTGCTGGTTGGTAAGCCATGGTTCGACAACAGACCACAAGAGAAATTGAAATAGAAAAGATTTTTACTTATAGGTTCTGGAGGAATTACAAGGGCATGCATTAAGGGGCCCCACAGGGAGATCAGGGCGGAGTGTAGAGAGAGGTAGAACCTGGAGTACAGTGCCTTTATTAGGTCTGTGGGTGGAGTGCTTTGGAGATCCTGGGCTAGAGCTGGATTTGTCAGTTCAAACCAAGAGTAGGGTTTTGGTAAGCTGAGCAGGATTTTTATCTAAGGGGTGCTTAAGGCATACAGGCACTGGGAACCAGGAGAGACCATTGATCACAAGTCCTATCATTAATTCTTGTAAGCAAACTTACATGGCTTGTATCTCTGTGGCCTGCTATTTAGGACATGTGCTTCCCTGAGAGGTCTAGTCAGTTTAAGGTCCTTGCAGGCCCCTTGGCCAAACAAAATGGATGCTGAGGCAGCAATACCAGGGAGTAGTTTAGCTAATCAGTGACTTGACTTATCTCAACAACTTCTTGTAGGGCTGTTCAGATTTTCTATTTCTTCTTGAGTCATTTTGGGGAGTTGTGTTTCCAGGAATTTCCATTTTATTTGGATTATCTGATTTATTGACATAACAATTGTTAATAACACTCCAAGTGTTCTATAACACTTTTTATTTCTATAAGGTTGGTAATAATCCCATTTTCATTCTTGATTTTAGTGATTTGAGTCTTCTCTTTTTTTCTTAGTCTAAGCTTGAGGTTTGTCAATTTTGTTGATCTTTCAAAGAACTAACTTTTGGTTTGTTGATTTTCTCTATTGTTTTTATATTCTCTTTCCTGGATCTTAGCTCTAATATTTATTAATTCTTCCCTTATTTTGGGCTTAGTTTGTTCTTTTTCTAGTTCCTTAAGGTGGAAGTTTGGGTTATTAATTTGAACTCTTCAGTACCTTTTTTTTTTAAATGTAGATGTTTACAGCTGTAAATTTCCCTTTGCACTTTTTCATTATATCACATATGTTTTGATATGTTGTACTTTCATTTTTTTTTTAAAGATTTTATTTATTCATTTGTCAGAGAGTGGGAGAGAAAGAGCACAAGCAGGGGGGGCAGCAGGCAGAGGGAGAAGCAGGCTCCCCGCTGAGCAAGGAGCCTGATGTGGGACTCAATCCCAGGACGCTGGGATCATGACCTGAGCTGAAGGCAGATGCTTAACCGACTGAGCCACCCAGGCATCCCTGTACTTTCATTTTTATTCACCTCAAAGTATTTATTAATTTTCCTTGTGATTTGTTCTTTGACCCACTGCTTGTTTAAGAGTGTGTTGTTTACTTTGCAGTTTGTGGATTTTCCATATTTCCTTCTGTTACTGATTTCTAGTTTCATTCCATTACGGTCAGATAAGATACTTTGTATGATTTCAACTTTTAATAATTTATTGAGACTTGTTTTGCAGCTGAACATATGCTCCAGCTTGGAGAATGTTCCATATGCACTGAGAAGAATGTATATATGGTTGTGTTAGGTGGAACATTCTATATACGTCTATTAGGTTTAGTTATAGTATTATTCATGTCTTATATTTCCTTCTGTATCTTTTATATGGCTGTGCTTTCCATTGTTAGGTGGGATGTTGACATCTCCAGCTATTTCCCACTTTAGTTTTGTCAGTTTTTGATTCATATATTTTATTATATGTCATTAGGTGCATATATGTTTATAACCATTTATATATTCTTTTTTTTAAAATGTGAGCTTTTTTTTTTTAAAAGATTTTATTTATTTATTTGACAGAGAGAGAGAGAGAGAGCACAAGTAGGCAGAACAGCAGGGAGAGGGAGAGGAAGAAGCATGCTCTCCGCTGAGCAGGGAGCCTGACGTGGGGCTCGATCCCAGGACTCTGGGATCATGACCTGAGCTGAAGGCAGCCACTTAACCGACTGAGCCACCCAGGCGCCCCAACCATTTATATATTCTTGACCCTTTTTTCACTGTACAATGTCCTTCTTTGTTTCTTGTAACATTTTTGTCTTAAAGTCTATTTGTCTGATATTAGTATAGCCACTCCAGCTCTCTTTTGGTTAGTGCTTACATGGAATATCTTTGTGTCCTTTCATTTTCAACTTATTTGTGTTTTTGTTTCTAAAGTGCAACTCTTGTAGACAGCATTAAAATGAAATCCGTTCAGCCGATCTCTGCCTTTTAATTGGAGTGTTTAATACATTTACACTTAATTACAGAGACAGAAGGACTTCTGCTATTTTTGTTTATTTCTTATATCTTTTTTGTTTCTCTACTCCTCCATTACTACCTTCTTTTGTGCTCTGTGTTTTCTCATGTGGTATTTTGATTTCTTTATCATTTCTCATACATACACTACAATGTATCTTTTAGTTATTTTCTTAGTGGTTGCCCTCGGGATTATAATCAGCATCTTAATTTATAATCATGTAGTTTAAATTAATACCAACTTAATATTATACAAAAACTTTTCTTCTATATAGCTCTGTACCCCCACCTCTATGTTACTGTCATGTTACATCTTTATAATTGTGTGCCTATCAAGATAGATTTATGATTGTATCATGTATTTTTCTGATTGATTTTTTAAATGCTAAACCAGTATTGTATTCTTAGAATAAATTTGGTCAATAATGATGTGTTACTGTTTTATCTTTATAATGTATTACTAGTTCAATTTGCTAATATTTTGCTAAGGATTTCTTTGTGTTCATGAGGGATATTGGTTTATAAGTGTGTGTGTGCGTGTGTGTGTGTGTGTGATGTTTGTGTCAAGTTTTAGCATCAGTAATGTTGACCTTATGAGTTAGAAATTGTTCTTTTTTCCTCTATTTTATTTTGTGTGTGTGTGTGTTAAATTGATGTTATTTCTTAAATGTTTGATAGAACTCATCAGTGAAGCCATCTCGACCTAGACTGTTTTGTAGGAAGCTTTTCAATTATTTATTCACTTAAAAAATAGATATAGGATTATTCAGATGTTTCATTTCAATTTTGGCATGTTGGATTTTTTTCAAGGAGGGTGTCTGATGCATCTAAGTAGCCAAATATGTTAGCATAAAGTTGTTCATATTCTCCTAATAACCTTCTAATGTCTGTGGCAATGTAATTAAAAAAATGCTTATATTAGATTGTAGAAAACATTTATATAGTGCTTATTACATACGTTTCACTTTACAAATAATACTCTTTTAATTCCCACAGTAATTGGTGAGGTAGATAATGTTATCTACATGTTCTAGATGAAAAAACAAACCAAAGTTAAACTAAGAGAGTTAAGGTGCCTTGCTCAAGATCACAGAACTGGTGTATTAAGGGCTTAAATTATAATCCAGGTGGTCTGGCTCCAGAGTCCTTTTTTCTTGACTCCTATTTACTTTGTATTTCTTAAATGACAATTACCTGTTCTTTTCTTCTTATGGAATTTTGCTGTTTTCTCTCTGGTGCTCCCACCACCTTTATTCCGCTAGTGGAAATATTTGCTCTGGTATTACTACTTAGAACTTGGAATTCCTTTCCCCATAAAAACATTACATATGATGGCTACACATACTTGAAATATTATTGGTTTTTTTTAAGGATTTATTTATTTATTAGAGAGGGAGAGGGAGGGAGCAAATGGGAGGGGGGAGGGGCAGAGGGAGAGAGAGAATCTCAAGCAGACTCCCTGCTGAGTGAAGAGCATGATGTGGTGCTCAGTCTCAGGACCCTGAGATCATGACCTGAGCCGAAATCAAGAGTTGGATGCTTAACTGACTGAGCTACCCAGGCGCCCCTGAAATGTTATTGTTAGTACTTGTCTGCAGTCACATAATATGTTAAAAAGACTTCTGGAGCTTCCCTGGGAAGTTCACTACAATTTATAATGTGAAACATGGTTTCTCTGGGAAAATACTAGAAGATATTTATTTTAAATTCACTTACTTAAAAGGTTAAACTTCAGTTACATGGAAATTTTACTTTTTGGAATCCCTTAATGATTTGAATTTACTGAGGTGTTTCTAAATCGTAATTTTCAGAAGACAAACAGTAAGATTAATTTTTACACATATTTTGTTTTACTTTCATTAATTTGCTGATTAATGTCTTTCAGGGTTATTCAAATGCTCAGAAGAATATTCTTCTTCAGGTGGATCAGAACTGTGTTCGCAATTCTTATGATGTCTTCTCTTTGCTGCGGTAAGAAACTTCTTAGACCTCCTGCATTTTCTAAAGAATGTTCTTCATTTTGAGTTTGTGACATTTCTGTGTGAGGAATTGTATGAGAGCTTTAGAAGCTGTTATTCAGGCTTAACATTTTTTAGTGAGAGCTTCATAAATTTTGTAGCTACAGTGATTTAAGTTTATCTCTTTCACAAAGCCGTTGGAACGCCATTTCCTTTCTCTGGATAGTGGGAGAGAATGATTGGAAGCCAGTGATCTTAAAACAGGGACATGAGCCATTTCTGGTTTTCTGTACTATAAAGAGCAGCAACCAGAGGTACAAAATTTAGACTTATTAAAATCTTAACAACTACAGCATTACTAGAAAAGCCCTCCAATAGCCCCAGACATGGCTTAGAGTTTTGACCTGCTCTTCATCTAAAAGAATCATGTTTGGCAAGGCAAAGGAGCTTTGCATGAATTTCATGCCCAGATGCTTGACTAACTGCCTTAACTCTATATTTTCATAATGCCTGGGCTTAATTTTGAAACATTTCTAAATTTGTTTTTAATTTTCAATGTGGAAGATCATCAAGGATATTTTCTCAGGAGGCAGGCAACCAAAATAAATGCAGTTCAAGATAAAGATAACAGTGACACTCAGCCTATGTTCACCCTACTCAGACAGATGGTTCATTGAAATTTGATTTTGGCAGTATTTTTCTAATGTTTACGTAACACATCATAAATTTCAGACCATTAGACATCCTCAATATATCTACTAGAGGAAGAGTCCAGAAGGATGGTTGGACTCTTGTCCAATTGGATGATTGTTTATTTTATAAACATTATGAAATGGGCCTTTTCTTTGCAAATCTTGAATCTTATTATACATGATGATAAAGTTTGGTCACATGGCCTGTGTAAATTGCTCTTAAGAGACAATGATTTCAACTAAAGTAACCACAGACATTTGAGGACTTTTGATTCTTATCTGAGAGGTACTTTGACTTTGACTTCTTAGGATATGTAAGAGAATGGACAGGATTTAGTAATTGGATGGTGGAGATAGAAGCAGGAGGTGTCAAAATATATAACTTGTATTTTTTTGAGTCTATTCAGTTTGGGACTACATTGAGTTTTAAGTATTGAAAAGAGCAATGTACAGAAGTAGTTTGAAATGTGAGTAAGCCACTAATATTTCTTGACCTATTTTCCTCATGAAATGAGGGTATGGATTTTACTATTTTAAAGATACTGTCCAAGTGTGAGATGGTGTGATCTTACTATAGAAATCAGTGGAACCAAAAGAAAAAGAAATATGAAGTCAGTGAAAAGAGGAGGATTGGGGAAAGACAGCATCATAGAAACTAAGGGAGTAGAAATTCTAGCAGTGTTGAATGCTCTGTGATGAGACAGGAAAATAAGAACTGAAGAAATGCTGTAGGATCTTGGGAAGCAATGTGGTACAATAGAGAATGCTTTGGTTAACTTGACTCTGACTTCAATTGTCCCTGGTTTATCCAAATTCATTTAACTTCTCTGATTCTTCTAAAAGGTAGAGGCAGTAATATTACAAATTTGTGTAGCTTACAAGCATTTCCATATTTATTATCTCACACTCTGAAGTTTTTTGTATTCAGACATCAGGGATCAGCCTTTGTCTTCAGTGTAGAAGCTGAGGCCAAGAGGCATTACAGGATTTATCTGAGAGCACACAGCAAGTAAGAGCCAGACTGGAGGTTGGTGTGAAGTTTTCCCGCAAGCAAGTTTTCCAGATCCTTTTCAGAGTCTCATTTACCTTCCTAGATTGGTGGTTATAAGGTGGTTATAAGGTGCACATAGCATAATGACAGAGAAAATTTTCTGAAAATCACAGAGCCCTCCATAAATTCAGAGTCATTGGGGGAATTTGGTAGTTAGTGCTCAATTATGTAACATTGATTCTTGCAATGATATGTCTCTTGGGGGTCTCATTTCTACGGTGCTTTCCAGATTCCTCAGGTGTGTTAGCAGTCTGATTTACCTTATTAACAGTGGCCTTGTCATTAGCATTGTGTAAATCATTTATAGCTGGTAACATAGATGTACTCTTTTGGACCGGATCAAGTGTCCATTTATCAACCAAATTACCTGAGGCCAGAGAGTTACTCTGGAACCAGAAACTTGACATTGTAGTCATCAACATTAATGAGTAAAATGGAACTTTCTCTGATAATTCTCTTAGATATCAGTAAGGAGTAACCACCATCTATCTGTTTGCTAAATTAAAAGCTCTTCTTTTCTCACGGTTCTTGGCATGATTTATGCTTGCTGGGAGACGTAATTTTGTGCTGATCAATTTTGTTCAGTTTCCCTTCTTTAACTCAGGCAACATTGTACCTGGATGGGAGTAATTTTTAAAAATACACCTTCTTCCTTGATCCTTTTTTGGTGTGTGAAATTGTTACTTCTTGATCTGTAATTTTATGTGAAAACATAGTCTGAATTCTTTAATATCACTTAACTTCACAAAATTCTCAGTGCCATTTGGAATCAGGACTAGAACCCCGGTCTCTTGATTCTGTTTTTTGAGAGTATATTCTAGTTAATAACTTTCACTGTGTTGTGCCACTAGGATGCATATTTCCTTCCACTTCCTATAATGTGAATGTTACAGAAAAAAAGGAAATCTTGACTAGGCAGGGATTTTGCAACACCTACGACCAGAGCATTAGAACCCCTTCAGTTGGATGTGTTGTACCATTTTGTAAGAAAACAGTAACCTGAGGTTTTATTTAGATTTTTCTGCCAGTAGTTAAGAATGTAGGCTGATTTCAATGTTACCAAAGTAATAGCAGCTCTTTCCAAATTTATATTCAGTGTGTGTGGTAGTAATTACATTTTGCTTCTTTAACCCTTGGAAATTCCTGGATTAAGGTTAGTTTTCATGTAAGTAGACATTTAATTAGGAGCCACTTTACTCGTTACATTTGACTCATTACCCTTAAATTAGGATGTTCACCACAAGGTGTCAATGTTGCTCTTTAACTGGCACCTGAAATTTCATTTATTTTATGGTTTTAAAGTGAGAAAAGTTGGATTATAAATTATAAGTGAGCATTTATTTTTAGAAGTTAACTTTTTTTTCCTCTCTTATTCCTTCTAGGTTAAGGAGTTTCTAGGCTTATTAGGTAACTTTCTCCTTTTGGTTCTGATTTTTTTTTAATCCTCTTGGTGGTACAGAGTTATTGAAAGATGAGAAAGAGAAGGAGTGTCGGGTGTGCAATTTAGATTTCTAACTGTGGGGACGGCATGGAATCAGTGGGGTGGGACTGGAAGCAGGAGACATCTATAATCCTATCTGTTCTCTGAGATTGAAAGATTACTTTTGATTTTTAAAAAGTCATTTTTTTCCCCTTTCATACTTCTTCAAAAAGGTAGCTCTACTGTAGTGAGATAAGTGAGAATAATGAATAATTCAGGTTTTCTTCCAGTACAGTTTTTGTTGCCCCTTTCCCTGTCTTGACATGTCCTATTTTTGCCAGTTGGAGAAGTGGAAGTGTGGTGGATAATCATGGGTCCTCCACCTAGGTTCCAGTCCTAACACTGTCATATGCCCATAACTGGATGTAAGACTTTGGGCAAATTGCTTTGGTATGCCTCAAACTACTTTTGTAAAATGGCAGTAATATTTATCTCATAGGGATATTCTGAGAATTAAATAAGATAAAATACTTGAAAGATCCTAGGTCAGCTACTGGCATATTAGTAGACATTCAATACATAATAGTTTTCGTTTTCTCCTTTCCTTCCCCCAGCTTAGAATTAGCTTTCTCCTCTATGCCAGTGTTTCTTTATGCTAGCATTAGTTTTTTCAATTTTCAGCTTAATTTCTCTTTCTTTTCTTGCCATTCTAATGTCTACCACCTCTGCTTTTAGCCTTACTTTTATTAATCCTGAACAATCACGATAAAATTATTTAATGGGTGTATGTCTTTTCTCCCTAATGACATTGAAAATTTCTTGAAGGAAGGGATTATTTCATATGACTGTGTTTTTTCCTCTCCATCTTCCTGACAACTGATGGTTATATTGGAGTTCCTGTGGATGCTGTTGTGATCCTGGAGCCCCAGGTCCTGTGGACTAGATCCTACAACCCTTCTGTTTTATTCTTTCCCCCTGAGTACTCTGTTCCATTACCACAGCTTCACCCAGCACAGCCACATGTTAGTAACTCTCAAATCTATACCTCTAGTTACTTCCTTTCTTTTGGATTTCTGATCTGTATTTTCCAGTGACCGTTAGACATTTATTTATACTTTCATGTTCTGTAGGAACCCCAGCTCTAACGTGTCCAGAGTTACATTCATGGGTATTATTTTCCTCTTCCTTTTTTTCCCTTGTATGTCTCATATCCTGTATATGATCTTCTCAGGCACTTAAGTGAACATACCGTTCTTTGTTCTCATCTCTATTTTTTGGGACTATTTCTTGACCTCGTAACTAATCTCCATACTAGTTTTTCCTTCATGCAATTGATAGCTATTATGGAGCGATTACTTTGTGTCAGGAACTTTTCTTACTGCTTTACATTAATTCTTTTAATTTTCACAGCAACCTTCTGTGGGGAGAACTGTTTCTGTTCCTATTTACAGATGAGGAAGTTGAGGCACAGAGTAGTTAAGTAACTTAGCCAGAGTCACACAAGTAGTCCCTCTTACCTGGATTCAAGTCCAGAAAGTCTAGCCCCCAAGCCTGTGTCGTTATAACCAGTATTCTTTACTGCTCTCTCATCTTGTGCATCGCTTTGGTGCGTCTTCTCTGCTGCAGTTCTGTCAGAGTGACCTTTAAAAATATATCAGTTTTGGCACATACAGGATAAACACTTCTTAATGTGTTATTCGAAGGACATTGTTCCGAGCACTCTATAGGGACTAGTGTCCTTATTTTAAGTCCTCCCACCACTGCCTGTGCAATTAATAGCTGGTATTTATGGAGTACTTACTGTGTTGTAATTAGTTCTTCATTGTCTGATTCTCTCTCCTCTTAGCGTC